CTCTAGTTCTTCCTTCAGGCCCTGGTACTTCTCCAGCTTCTCATACTCCTTCTTCCTGATACTGACAAGATGGACAAATGGCTAGACTAAGCAGGCCCTTGTGTCCTTGTTTTCCCTTGCTTCAAAAAAAAAAAGAGGGGGGGATGTGATATTAAGAGAACAGCAAATTTTGCTGACATTAAGAGAACAGCAAATTTTGCTTAGGGAGCCAACCAATAAATGATCAATTCGGGTGTGAAAACGGAAGCCCTTTCCAGATCAGATAGATTAACAACCCAGTGGATTTTGCATTGATATTTTTTAAGAAGCATAGGTCACCTGCTTGAATAATCTATACTATTGGGGTGGTAAAACATCTCTAGTATTTGCCACTATTCTTGCTTCTGTCTTCTTATTATAGCGTCCTATAATCTGAACCATGGTGATTTACTATATGGATGCTCACAATGTGTGTCACTTTCTGCACAGACTGCTGTTCTACATGTAAGAGATATTCAAGTCCCCTAACATGTAGGTATTATTTGGAATCACTAGAAGATTAAAAGCTCTGTTATCATATCCTGAAAGTTCTCCTTATACTACTCTTTGTGATACAATCATCTGTTACATCAGCTACCTAATTCAAGCTTTTTTAATAAAGAGTCCAGAACATGCACTCATAGGTATGGCAGACTGTAATCAGGCCACTGGAGATTACTATTAAAGCCCTGCCAATAGTATTTCAATATCACTTTTAATACATTTTAACTTGGCTATCCTTTTGCCATAAGATGCCATTGCTACAAGCAAGTTTTGTTCAAGAAGGTGCCTTACCTTAATCTATGCCAGAAATAATTAACACTGAAAGGGATTCTCTACCCTCCTCTCCCATCAGTTGAAAAGGGTATCTTTCTATTGTTTGGCCTACCTGGGTTTCCAAAGGCCCATCCACAAAGGGACTAGAGGATTCTTCACATACAGCCAGGCTCCTGACTAGTTTCAGTTTTGAATTTGACTGAAAAACAACAACAAACGCTTCTGAAGTTAAGATGCAGGTGGCTACAGCTCCTTTTAATACGTCATGGACCGGCCGGCCACCTAGTGGTAATTAAGGTAGCACTGTTGTAATTAGAAAGATACATTCTTTGTTACCCTGTAGCAACACAGAGGGTGTCTACTCCATAAAAATTAGTAAGCACATAACTAGGAAAAACTTCCCCTCTTGGCATCTTAGATGGGATCCCAGTATGCATGATAACTTGCCACTCCATCTGACCTTAGCTTCTATGTAGGCCTAAAGGATGAATACATGATTTCGGCTTCTCAGTTGCAATGAATTCATTGTATGATCTCTCCCCAAATATATATAGCAAAAGTAAGTAACAAATAAGTAGATTCTTCCTGCTTAATTCCAAACCTTCCATTCTACAGCTGGTACATTACATGTTATTTTCAACAAGCATAGCTACTCTGGGTGATCTGCCAGTTTCATAATATGCTAAAAATAAAGCTTTGTCTCAGGCTGCTTGAAGAATTTGGGTTGGGGGAAAGGAGCGAATGGTGGTGCCCCACAGTATTTTACATAGGACGAGCTCACTTATGGTGAAATATGGACTCTTGAGAATGGATGGTATACATCTTCATATAAATAAATAGAAATAAATTAATATAATTTCAAAGACCACAGCTAAAGAGCCTTACTAATGCAATGAATATTAAAAGCATATATGACAAATGCCTAAAGGGGCCAACTTTAATCTGATAGTGATTGACTCTCAAATTGTAAAACCCCAATCTGCCCTGTTCTTATGGAGGCAGTAAACTTAGATTTATTTTACAATATTTGTAAGCTGCCCCAAGATTCTGAGTGGAAACCAACAAAGCAAAACAAGATAAGAACTCTGGGCTGCACCAGTTCAGCTTGCAGTGGTGGGAAAGTATGAATGAATTCCCCTTCACACCAAAAAACAAAACAAAACCCAGCAAGCGGTTAACAAGCACGCCAGGCAAAATGATAGTGAGCCTGGCCTTCCTCACAGTATGCTATTCCTGTGTGTGTAGAAAAAAAAATATTTAGATGTAGAGATTTGATAAGGGGACACTCCACCACCACCCTGACTTACTGTGTGCAACACTACAACTCAGGCATAGCGAAAACAAGCGAGATGCAAAAGCTAGAGCTCCAATAAATTTAAAATGTTCCCATGGCTCCCAAGAAGATGGACAACTTTCAGCATGTTTTTCCAAAAACAGTCTGCTCTGCAGTTGTGGTACAGCCACAGAGAGAACAATGGCCTTACCCTCCCACCTCGAGATGGCTGGATGCAGTGCCTGTGAACTATCCAAAGGACGTGCTTGAAAAATCCTTGTAAGACCTAGAAATAAGATGCAATTGCTATGGCATTCTGAGCCGTGAAATCAGTGATGGACTAAGAAGGGAAGACTGGGAGGTAATAAATCTGGCACCCTGTTAGGAAGGAGTGTGGCCAGGACTCAGAACTAAGGATGGAATCAGGTTTAATGTCATATCATCACCTTCTGAAGTATAATGCTAATACAACATAGAAAGACGGCAGGGGGAGTTTCTTACCTTGGCTCTTTTTCTAGCGTGCCCATGATTGGATGTTCTCCTCTGTTTAAAAGGAAAAAAGATGGGGATAGGAAGAAGGTGAAAAGTTATTCTGTGCACTCTTTATACTATAAGATACATGCTAGGAAATATGAATAAGTGATGGCTGAGTTTGCAGAAAGGGCTAAATCGACTTGTTTGATTAAGGCGGGAACTACAAT